TACAATTCTGCAGGTCTTACCTCGAGACAGGCACACGTATTTGTTCTCGGCAACCATGACGAAGAAGGTGTCGAAACTTCAACGGGCGTCTCTCAAGGACCCAATTAAAGTCGAGGTGTCCACTAAATACCAGACGGTTGATAAGCTGCAGCAGTACTACCTGTTTATTCCGCAGAAGTACAAAGTACTTTATTAATTTTTACACTTTGGAGAGTTTTTCCGTTTCCGCTTTGTTTTGTTATTTTTCTGCTGCATTCAGGATTGCTATTTGGTTTACATTTTGAACGAGTTGGCCGGCAAAAGCTTTATGGTATTCTGCGCAACATGCGTCAACTGTTTTCGCACGGCTTTCATGCTGCGAAACCTTGGCTTTACCGCAATTCCTTTGCACGGCCAAATGAGTCAGGTAAGCATATATGCGTCAGCTTATAGCTCCCGAAATTTAGTGAATATCTATTCTAGGCTAAACGACTGGGTGCTTTGAACAAATTCCGAAGCAAGGACAAGTCAGTGCTGATCGCCACCGACGTTGCTAGCAGGTAATTTATCATTCGACGGGTGCCTTTGTTCCTCAGCGAGTGGCTCAGCTTAATCTGTAGAGTTTAAGGAGATGATACATCAGAGAAATGCGGTGGTGAGTTAAGTCCGTAAATGCTTTATGCAATCAACGTAAAGAATTTTATGCCGGCAATGCTTCTTTCGCCATTTTTCTTGGTTTTTCCTAATAAGACGATCAGTAATATTCGATATTTTGATTTTGGGGCCATGCATTTTTATTTAGCATAAACTCGGTCATGTGTATGGTGATCGATCTACTTATTCGGCCGATATTCAGCAGTAAAACAGAATTTGTTGGTTGCATACACCTAATCCTCCGCTCGATCCTTCTTCAGGCCATCTTTGCTACTGTGGTTCTTGTTGGAAACCATTTTTTATGGTTTCGGCGAATACCACTGATGTGCAGTACCAGTATCGATTAACAGTCAATGAAATCTCCGGTTTCTATCTGAGTTTAGTCACGGAGCGAGATTTTCAGCATCCTTTTTTCTGTGGTTCTTCAATTGATAGCGAACGTATGATCCAGCATGTTTCATATGCTGATTTGCACTACATCATTGGACAGTAGTACTGACTCGAAGAAATGAGTCAGTCATGTTTTTTGAGTCTTTTCGAGTAGAATATCCTTGAGAGGATTGAACGTGCTCGAGATTTCAGCCTTTTTGATCTTGCCCCATGTTGACTCCATTGGCTCGGTAAACATTGCTTGCTTTCTCTCTGCACTCTCCGTTAGCCACTTTTTAAACCATCTTTAAAGTATCTAGTTCCTTGTAGTTTGTCTTTGACCGATTGATTCTTTTTCTGACTTTTTCGCTTTTTGCGTACTGTGATAATATTTGAGTAGCCTAGATATTTAACTTCCCAGTAGTTGTTTTTCGCCTCATTTTTTTGGGCTTCGCCGTGAGGTCTAGACCTTGTGACGTGGCGACGCAATGCCTATGACATCGACTCTGAATACCGGAAGTTCCGATCCGGTCTTCGCTCAAGGTACAACTTTTATCTTTACACGATTCCTTTTGGCAAGAAATTGACATCACTTTGCCTCGGCGCGGCCTAGGCACTTACGAATAATAGGGACAACGTGACATTCTACTCTGATCGTGCCAGAATGGACGAGGTATACAGTCAGTTTTCTCAGTGCGATTGTCTTTTTGGCTGTTGCTTGCCTTGACCACTCGATAGCTGACGATCCATTGTAATAATGAACTTGATTTAGCAATTTAATTGATTCAGCTGATTTAATTAATGTAAGCAGTGATGAAAGTAGAGTTCGGTCCAAGACCATTGATGCTGTCGACCTCTAAATTGGAACTCAGTTTTTTGCCATATTCTGTTATGACAACTAGTGAATGATGTACACTCTTTTTGAAAATACGTTAACAGGCTGTCAATGATAATAGACTAATAATAAGATGGTTAAAAGACTGGACAAAATAAGTGAAGCTTTTATAACGCACATTATGTTATCTTCGGCAGACGTTAATATAATAATTTGGCGAAACAACAATACCTGATCATCACTCTAGACGATGTTTCAGTTGTCTTTTCGTACCTTCGCAAAACAGCTAAACCGTGAGCCTTGATATGTTTAAATAGTCCACTTTTGCAAGCATGCCCCGTGAAATCCAGTTTTGTGAATTAATAGATATTAACTTGTGATGAAGAAGCAACACTGTTGTGGGTTCCTGTGGTTCACTTATTTAGTATATTTTTACAGCGTTCTAACCAATCATTCTTTATCAATAGTGTAAACACTTTCTTACTGCAATCACAGTCATGTAGAGTAAGAGTGAAATCGAGGGCCCTGCATCACCCTCCTCGTCTCCCTTTTGTCCCCTTTTTTATTCATCTTTCTCCTATTATTTATCCGTTTTATTCTTTTTTGCTCACTCCCTTATTTTATAGTTCATTTTCCTGTACTTCTCCTCATTAGTTTCTTCTTTATTCTTTGATACCTTTCCTTTAGTTTTTCTTCTCTTTATTGGTTCCACATAAAGCCATAGCCATGTGAAGATGTAGGGTGCCTGGAATTTCCACCTTCAAACTCTGCACAGTGAAACTCAGTCATCTGTTTCCGAAGCATTTAAAACATTCAGGGAATGTGCTTACTGAAGTATATACTCCTCTCGTTATCCATCCTTTGACCGGATCCTGGCACTTCAGGGGCGAGAAATTAGGCCTTAAAGATTTTGTCACGCCGAAGCGACGTAAGTAAATCCAATGTTGCAAGTAATGTTGCATATCGGTTCTTGTATTTATGAATTTTTTTTCTACAGGGGGCTTGATATACCTCATGTTGACATTGTGATCAACTTTGACATACCGAGAAATCCCAAAGACTATATTCATCGTGTCGGTCGAACGGCTCGAGCAGGAAGATCAGGAATATCGATAACATTCGTCACTCAGTAAAATTGTTTTATTTTGAATAATACCTAAAGCATTTTTTGTCGGCCTTTGATTTGTTTTAGGTATGATGTCGAACTGTACCAACAGATCGAATTTTTGATTTGCAAAAAGCTTCCGTTATACAAAACAGAGGAAGAAGAGGTTCTATCACTGATGGATCGAGTGGTCGAAGCTGTGCGCTTGGCAAAACAGGTTTGAACGTTTCTAGGAGAGTCATATGAACTTAACATTAAATCTTTGTTCATGTAGCAAATAAAGGAACTGGACGACAAGAGTAAATCCGGCAAGTCCAGAAAAAAGTTTAAAGAGTGTGATGAATCAGATACAGAAGCAGCAGTGGTTGGCTACCGGAAAAAGCTGAATTCGAAACGACTTAGAACCTGAGTCGGAGTCCCGTTTGTTTTGTTTTTTGTTGCGAAACCAAAAGCCAGCATAGATTGTTGGTCGAAAAAAATTATTCTGTCAGTAGTGTTGTTCATGAAAACAAATGGCTGGTTATAAAGAATCACTGATTCTTAGTTTTCACGTAGGCAGCGACAAAAAATGCAAATTATATTTAAAATGGCCAGTGTCATGATTTGAGGAGGAACACTTTGCTGAGGAGTTCTCTGTTTGGTGTAGTACCTGTTATGCGCAAATGCAAATTTGTTCAGACCATTCATTTGCAATGGTCGTTTACTATTTCATGATTTGTTGTGGGTGACTGCTAGAATCGGTTTCTACAAGGTTTTCATAATCAGTGAATTGTCTTGCTAGCAGCTTGTCATTTAGTTATATTTCCAAAAACGGATAGATTATTCGGTAATTATGACAGAAAAAACATTGATATTTTGTAATGGTTGTATTCTTGAAAAGACGTTATAAAACTAGACTTTTGAAAGGAAAATTTCGTTCAGGTGAGTTCATAGCATTAGGATAGAAATACAACGCATGAAATGGCATGAAGAAACATTAAGACTAATTCTTCAGCGATTTTCAGTTGCCGGTATGCACCGAACTGTAGGTTGGTCGCTGTATTGGTTATCGAGACCGCGCGACAGATGAAATGCGCTTACATCGCGAAATATATCAGCCATAGAAGTGTCCCAGTTGTGGCGCTCTTCGTATCTTACTTCTGATGGATTGCGGAACCGTGTCGCTGCGTGTTCTGCTGAAGCATGGAGGCGAAGCTAGATTTGAATCGATTGAAGTAGCGGTGTTACCGGTTGGTCACCATATGGATAAGTCTTTCACGAATTAATGCTGAAATCAATTTGGCTTGTCACCTGCTGCATGTCGAGAATTATGCATGCTTAAATTTACCACATTCTGAATGACGAGGTTAAACTATAATTTCAGCACTTCGTGAATTATTAACGATTTACGATCTGTAGTTTATGCTGCCAAATCACCATTACATCACTGTCAAGAGAATTATAAAATCCAGTTTTCCTTTCCGTGAAAATCAATCTGACCAGCTGTAGAAGGACATGAAGCACGAGTTAAAACGTCATCAATGATCAATTATCCTATTGACCAACTTGCTTCAGTTGTGTCTAAGAAAACGTTTTATTACATTTTGAGTTATCACTATGAACAATACAATGCGAATTCAATCATGTGGTAAGCTTGTATGCTGATGTGAAGTTGAATTACTCAAATACTTTTATTATTTCGCTATGAATCGATGCTGGTGCTTTCCCAATACTTTAATTCTTATGCCAGAACTATTTTTTAACAGTCTCGGTTTCTCTATCAGATATGGCGTGTGAGATGCGCAAAATTTATATTTTTCTCCTGATAATCATTTTCTTAATCATCTATGAACTCTTATTCAGACAGCTTAAATTTCCACTTCCATTAAAATCAAGATAGATGACTGAGCCGTTACGGAATTGACTTTCGTTCAGCAAACGTTATGACGAGATAGACGAAACATTGATTTTTAATATTTTCGAAGCATTCTAAGACGCTGTGCCTATGGTAAAATTTGCATTATGAATGCAAAAATAGAGGATGCAATGATAAGGTGAGTCAGCATTGACAGCGTGAGAGTGGAAACGTGAAAATGGCGTTGATACATTCTTCCTCTTTCAACGAGCAGTTGTCTAATAACTGATGTAAAAATTATACATTCAGTAGAAAATACCTCGTCTCGATCAGCATAACTCTTTTTCGGAACATTCTTTCACATTACAGGATTCGCACAGAAACGCAGATCTGTTAAGCTGCTTAGCAGCTTTTGAATGATGATATTTATACATCTGAGATTCTTATCACTGCAAAAATCAGTGGCAGAAACCTGTCACAAAGAATAACGGTAATTCTCTCCAATTATGAGAAAATTTTACGCATATAAATATAGAAATAACTGGTCAGGCAAGTACCGTAGTACTGTATGAAGTTTATAATCCACTGAGTGAATCACTGAGAAAATGCAGCCGCAAAGAAAACACGTCAAGCAACATTATAATTATTCGCAAATTTTGCAACTTGCTATTTTCACAGAAGCACAATAGGATGAATTCAATGTCTACAGAAATTATCTGTTATTAGAGGGAAGTTCTTCCGCACATCGAACTCGAACTCCGTACTTTTCTAGGCAATCCTTTGCCCCTCTGCATGAC